ATTTTCAACTAAAGCCTTGAAACTTTTAAATGCTTGGAAAGCATATGATTTTTCCTGCAAAAAATACACCCAGGTCTTTCTGCTGAAATCATCTATAAAAGATATAAAATACCTTTTATTACCATTTGAAGTTGGATTGATTGGTCCACATAGGTCTGAATGAACCAATTCAAGTACAGCTCGAGCTCTTTCTGCTTTTCCACTAGGAAATGTATCCCTTTGATGTTTGCCAATAACACATTCTTCACAAGTTTTTTATGGATGAGTGATTGGTGGAAGGCCAATAACCATCTGCTTCTGATGTAGTGTCTTCAGCCCATTAAAGTTCAAATGGTCATATCTATAATGTCACCTCCATGATAAGCCATCTTCTTTAACAAACAAGCAAGCTGGCACCGTTTTGATCTTTAAAGGAAACAACCTGTTTGAAGTCATTTTTATTACAGCAATGGAGCATCTTCTTGGATCATACACCTCACATTCTCCTTTAAAGATGGTGATTTTATAACCTTTGTCTTGCAACTGACCAGCACTCAAAAGATTTGTTTTTAAATCAGGAATATATAAAACATTTGAAATGATTTCAATAGAACCATTCCTAGTCCTGATTTGAATATCCCCCTTTCTCATTACATTCACAGTTGATTTATCCCCAAAACTTACAACTGAACGAAAATCTTCATTTAAGTTTAGGAAAGAAGACTTACACCCACTCATGTGATTGCTGCAACCGGTATCCATATACCATGTCTCTTGATCAAGCTCCTGCAATGCATGAAAGGCCATCAGAAGTGTTTCTTCCTCATTCTTCTTCTCAACAAAATTGGATTTTTCTCCCTTCTCTTTTGGTAACTTTGTATAACATTCATTCTTGTAGTGACCAAAGTATCATCTGTAACATTTGATCTTGGACTTGTCATACTGCCCTTTTTCTTTTTCTTGAGAGTTGTCATCTCTCTTGGAAACGTGAGTGTTACCCCTATTTCCACGACCACCTCTTCCACGTCCTCTTCCACTTCTTCCTCGACCTCTTCCTCTCATGCTTGAGAATTCAGTAGAGGCTTTAAGAGTTGTTTGCTCCTCATTATTTTCACGATTGAGTTTTTGCTCATGAACAAGTAGGGAACTTTGAAGCTCATCAATGGACATATGCTCAACATCTTTGGATTCTTCAATGGAGCAGACAACATAGTTTCACTTTGAAGTCATTGATCTCAAAATTTTCTCAACAATTTTAACGTCTTCCATGACTGTGATAGACGCATGGCCCATGCAGGTGTGTGATGTGGCGTAGGGAGAAGAGCAACAGATTTCCTCCCTTTTCTCTTCATTTTCTTGTTAGTTTATTTTTGTTCTATTTCCTTATAACTTGTACGTAAGAATAGGTCAATAAAACCAAGGTGTTGGCCTTAGGAAGTAGTCAATTTGGTTAAGTAGTTATTACTTAAGAATAGGTCAAGTTGTTAGTGGTTAAGTAGTTATGTTCCTATGACTTAGGGATAGGCTAACTACTAGAAAAGGTAATCCCTTAATCACCCACTATGTTAGTGGGAGGGCAGTTGGATGGGTGGTGTTTAAATACAAGAAAATTCTCAACTTCCTTCCACTAACATAGTCACTGATTAAGGGATTAGTTTCTTTAGTAGTTAGTCTATCCCTAAGCCATAGGAACATAACTACTTAACTACTAACAACTTGACATATTCTTAAGTAATAACTACTTAACCAAATTGACTACTTCCTAAGGCCAACACCTTGGCTTTATTGACCTATTCCTACGTACAAGTTACAAGGAAATAGAACAAAAATAAACTTACAAGAAAATGAAGAGAAAATAGAGAAAATCTGTTGCTCTTCTCCCTACGCCACGTCACACACCTGCATGGGCCATGCGTCTATCAGACTGCACCATGAAAGCGCATCTTGTTTGCAATCCCCATTGTTCTTCTAAAGAATTCGGTAACAGACTCTCCTGGTTTCATTTGAAGAGTCTCAAAATCTCTTGTGAGGGCTTGAAGTTGTGCTCGCTTCACCCTGGTTGTGCCTGAATATTTCTTCTTCATCGAATCCCAGATATGCTTTGAAGTGTCCTTTTGGAGAATGGTCTTCAAAATCAAGCGATCAATTGCTTGAAACAAATAGTTCTTTGCTTTTAAATCCTTGAACTTTCGATTTGCCAAAGCCTTATTTTGTGCTTCAAAGAGTATTTCTTCTGCAACTGGTTCAGTCACCCCATTCTCTACAATGTCCCATACTCTTTAGACCTTAAAAAATTTTCCATCAACATGCTCCAATGATCATAATGACCATCAAAACGGGGAATAGCTGGTTGCACAAAACTATTGTTGTCGGACGCCATATCACCTTGTTGCAAGAAAATTGCTGTTTTTTTTTAATGCAAAAGCTCTGATACCAGATGTTGGTATTGAATAAAAGATTCAAGCTGAATTACTCGTATTAATAAAAGACAGACTTACAACTTAAATAGAGATATTCTAAACTAACAACATGTGCAGATTTTTAGGAACAGAATCAAAACAGAGTGGTGAACATCCTCAACCACAACTCCTACAAACTAGGACACTTGACTTRGTCTTTGATAAAACTTAACTACATCCTCAACCACAACTCCTACAAACTAGGACACTTGACTTGGTCTTTGATTTACCATGTCAATAAAACTTAACTCTTAACATTGATCAGAAGAGTCATTTAGGATATTGCCAGGATTTGTTTTATTGCAAATTTTAAAGGATTCAGATTTAGAGGTTGAGGCAGTCAAGGATCGTGAAGTGTTGAAGAAGGTTTTGAGATCAATCTCAAGTCACTGGTTCAATTGATGAACTTTTAAAACTTCAGGATAAAACACTTTCACTGAATCGATAAAAGTATACATTGTAGTTACATTTGATCCAATCCTTCTGTTTAGGAAAATGCTTTGTAAAATAACATACATATTTTACATTCGGTAAAAACAATAAATACTTACAAAATAATCTGCAACCGGCAAACTAAGGAGCTTATTGAGGCACCGGTTTATTCATGGAGAACACAAATGTTCCTAATCAATCTGCACATGATATGTTGTTCACTTCTCAATCCAGAGGTTCACTTAATAAAAATCACCCGCTTAACTCGACAGTTTTTCTGCTATACAATCCACATGGCGAATAGTTGGGACGAATTCAGAGAGTGTATCTGATCGTTTTACATACGTTTGCGAAACAATGAAATGGTTTGAGATCACCACCTGTGACACTCCCTCCATTTCGAGCGTGTGCTATCTTGCCTATTGCACAAGTTAGCTCTGCATATTTCACCCAACTAGCTGAAAGCACCTTCGCTGTTATCCCAACTCATGGAGCCTATTCAAGCACTATACAAATGATCACATATAACACAATGGTCTGAGATGAGTTTTCCGATGATGCTCCCTTCTTCAATCCTTAATCTTCCACTCTGTTTGTTCCAAAGGTGAAGCCCAAACGTCTCCCCACTTAATTGACGCAGCTTGGTAGATATCCATCTTGACATCGCTGGATTCTCCGGCCTCTTGAAAAATCCACCTATCCGATTCCAACTAACTGGATAGAAGGCCATTGGTGGCAATACAGTGAAGTTATGCTCATACCCAGGATTTTTCTTCTGCATCCTCTCAATCACCCTCGAGACCAGGTATGGCCCATTGTACCCCCATCTGTTTCCATTAAAAGTGAGGGAGAATTCCTCTATGAACTTTAACAGAAGTGGGTGATTCTTGTCAAAAATCAGAACAGCATTGTTAAGTCGAGTCCAGTTTCCTGTTTCATCCATGCTCTGTGCCCCGATTGAGTTCCTCAAACCAGAAAGCTTCTTCAGGACTATGAAGTCTGTGTCCAAGTAAATACCTCCATACTTGTATAGAACCGCCAGTCTAAGCAGATTGGAAAGATTCTGAGCTAGTGGGATTTCACCAGGATCCTTTCTCCCATTCTTAATCTCATCAAACCAAGCAATAGCTGGTGTGTTCTCAAACAGATATGGTAAGTCCGGTGTAACTGCAAGAACTTTGAAACCACCATGTTGTAGAGGTTCCAGAATGCGTTTCCCATGTCTGGAATCCAGGGTTCTAGATAAAATGATCAAGCATCCATTGGGATGGGCTTTGAAGAGGCTCTCCAGGGCAAAGAATTCTCTTCTACGGAAGGATTTCGCTGGTGAAATCCATGTCATGAAGAATTGCACTTCGCACCCACTTTTGAAGAATTCCTGAACTCGCCTGGAAAATTGCCGGGCCAAATCAGTTGATTGAAACATTTCAAACTCGAGCGATTTATTCTGGGACCACGTCTTTCTTTGCTGCTCTGTAATATTGGTAAGAGAGTATTCAATATAAGACTCATTGACCTCTTCTTTCACCAAAAGCAGTGGTACAGGTGAAGAAAATGGCTTGAATTTTCTTTGGGGTTTATTGGAAGGGAACACCAGGGCGTCTCTTATTGTTCTCGAGGTGGTAGAATGGAGGAAGAGATTGCAGCGAGCACCGACGGCGAAGAGAACAACAAAGAAGAGTGCAGCGAACGAGATGGTGAAGATAGAAGATTTCATGATACCCAGTCGCCTAAAATTGGACATGATTGCCAGATTTTTTTTCCCTCGGCTCTCACTGCTAAGAGAATTGGAAATAGCAAGAAGGTGTAAGAACCGAAGCTCAAGCAGAGCTTTCATGGAGGATGGGAGTGAGAGAAGGAAGACAAAGAGATTGCGATTTAAGGAGGTGTTTTAATGTATGCAGACCTGTTAATAGTCAAAACGTGTCTACTTGAAATTGGAGTCTCTTGGATAGCCGTCGGCGACTTCAAACTTCAAAGAGAGAAAAGTAGAGGTGAGAGGTGAGAGGTCCTTGTCCTACATTTTTTTATTTAGGTTGAAATTGTCCAATTTCATTATTATTACTTTTTTCCCTTTGTAGTGGGTTTATCTTCTGCTTCCGGCAAGCTCGCTGCATGTCGAGCTAATTCCAGGATCTTTTGGGGACGACTATAAGTCATTACCCGTTCGTCGGTTAACACTTAACAGCGTCGGAAATTTGTATTTGCTGGTGTTTTCTGGCTTCCGAGTCCAATCCGTTCCTTCATGATCGCTTTTGAACACATTCTACGAAAATTACATCCTCTGTACCCTTCGTTACACATTTTACATGCACCCTCCAATACAAACACGCCACGTCATCTTAAAGTTTTTGCAAGAGTTAACGGCAGTTACGGGTCACGTCTTCTTCGGGTGCTCACGGCAACCGTGTCATGGGCTAATTTTTGAAACCGAACCGGGGTAACTAAAACCGAATTAAAGCCGACCGGTTAACCAATTGACCGATTTAATTCATCAGTTTTTTGGTTTTTTATTATTTACAATATTTATTATAGAAATATATATATATAATAAAATACTAGAAATATATGTACTATTATATTTTAAATAATAAATAATATATTATATATTATATATTATAAATATATATTTATATATAATGCATATTTATTAATTTATAATATATAGAAAATATAAAATATATATAAGGGAAAATTCCTCATCAGTACTTTGTACTTTGGCTCGAGTGACAATTTGGTCCCCAAACTTTCAAAATGTGACATTCCAATACCTGTCATTAACTAGTCCCTTAATCAGCCATTAAGTGATATTTGAAAAGCCAAAAATGCCCTAAGAATAACATCTAATTCTTTTTATCAGTCATCCAAACATTGACAATAAAATGAACAGTCCCAAATTCTATATTCTTCTAAACAATCACCAACTTTTTTGAATAGAAGAGGTCAGGATTTGGGATTGTTCAGTCTTTTGTCAATGTTTGGATGGTTGATAAAGAGAATTAAATGGCATTTGAAGGACATTTTTGACTTTTCAAATGTCACTTAACGGACTAGTTAACAATAGGTACTGGATTATCACAATTTGAAAGTTTGGGTATTGGATTGTCACATTTTAAAAGTCCGGGTATTTGATTGTCGCATTTTAAAGTTCGGGGACCAAATTGTCACTCGAGCCAAAGCATAGGGTACTGATCGGGAATTTTCCTTATATATGTATACCAATCGGTTCGGCTAACCGCCAGTTTTCTATTTTGGTTAACTGAAACTGAACCAACCGATTTGATTAACCAAATTTTCGATTCGGTTTCGATTTGTGTTTAGTTTTTTCGGTTTTTTTCTCACCCCTATTCTTTGTTTGACCACCAACCTACCCAAACAACGAACAAGGACCCGCAGCAGTGGCTAAGTGAGTCCTCTCTCTCTCTCTCTTCTCTCCTTCTCCGTCTCTTCCTTTTTTTCTCTTTCCTTCCTTTTCATCCATTGTTCATTGTCTACCCCAGCCTTCTGCACCATCCAAACACCCTCTCTCTCACCCCTTCCCTTGTCTTCCACTCCTCTCTGCTTTCTTCGTCCCAACGTTTCCTACAACCAAAACACTACAACTGCAATGCAATCATCCCATTTGCCCACTCTGTGGCCAAACTCTCTCCACATACACTTAAACAAGCTCACATCGTATGTGTTTGGTTCCCGATGAAGGGTAATTTGGCCTGACCTATCAACACCCGAACACGTGGAAGCGACCTACTGACTGGATGACAACCTGGAATCTCCTGCCACATCAGCGAGCCAAGTCAATTCGGGTACTTTGAGCACCTCGGCCAAGACCAAGGTCCAAGCAACTTGCGAAGGCCCGACCTGCCGAGGTGACACGTAGCTAACTTCTAGAAGCTAGCCAATTGTCTCCAACCTCTTCCAGATCACATCGCATGTCCACAAGCCTTATCCTTACCCCACCCGGATCAGACGGACTCGATAAGCCTTATCAGCTCACACGAAGTCCACCTCCTAGAGTGGAACGAATTTCTAGTAGCACGAATCGGGGATCTCGGAGGTGTTTTGTAAGGCATACAGCAGCTCACCTATATAAGGGCACCAATCCCAACAATGTAAGGTACACACAATTTATTGCTCACTAGCCTACTTGCAATTAAGCTTTCAACTCGCATACTAGATTACTAACTTAAGCATCGAAGTGCCCACACCAGGTAAGCTACCCCGGGTTCTCTAAGTATTGTTTCCTTGCAGTTCGACCAGCTTGCAAAGCAACCGACATCCGAGTTGCCCTTCAGCTAAGAGCATCCAGATTGTGCACCATCAGTTTCGTTAGAGTTTATTGAGTAAACACTGCCACATAGGCGCCCCATCAACAAAGGCCTCATTATGCACATCCGTGCGCATCGATGTTTGCATTGCAAAAGCAAGCATCGATTTATGTGCACCTTTCCTGTTTCAGGAAGCTTCATTTTGGGCTTCCCCCAACGGGTAGGCGTTTATTGGCACTTTTGCTGATGTGGTGCCTAATGGCGACTATGTCATAAATGCCCTTATTAATTGATTTTCTCGGTTTTATAGCCACATTAAGTACAAAACGTTTAGTCAATAAATGCCAACAGAACCAAACACATATATCGTCTACATCCAGGTTGTAGAAAATTTTCCTGCACCCACGAATAGAAAATTGCCACATCAGTTTTAATTTTTAAAGTCCAAGTTAACGGAAGTTTAGAGTTGACGGAACTTGGACTTCCAAAGAAATTGATTTGGCTTATCCCGCCCATTCATTCCTCTTCCACTCGTTCAAGCTTGTTGCCTTCTGCATCTCCATTTCAACTGACGAAAACCCTTGTTGGCATTTCACTGGACTCTCTTACTCGTCAACGTTTACTCCCCCGCTCATTCCTTTCTCTCTGTTATAAACATAGAGTACGTTCGATTATTGTTGCATGCTCCTCCATATATGAAAAATTTTCTCAATAGTGGGGTATTTGGAATTTACATTCAAACTTGGCATAATTTCCATGTTTCAAGAATCGGGATTCCCACTAATATATCTAAAGTGAAGCATGCCATTAATTATGCTAAAGATTATTACTTAAACATGACTTTCAAATATCTATAATTCAGATTTTGAGTTGAGCTTGCTGCTTCCAATTCCTAATGCAAAAGGGTTTAAAATCCTTGCAATTCTAACTAGAGTCCACTTCTAGAAGGCCGGTTGAAGGCCAAGTTTGCTGATTTTGGATGATGTATTTGGGACCACAAACGAAATCTTATAATAACATCCAACCAAACGACTCAGGCCTCCCCAAGTAAGAAAGCAAAGCTTTTCGTCTTTGGCAATTTGGAAGTAGTGCAATTGGTTCTTGATCTATTATTGTTGGAGGGAGATTCAAAATTTCAAGAATCTCTCTCCTCCCTCTCTTGTTTTTGTCTTTTCCTCTTCCTATTCTTGAGTGTATGAGAAGATTCCTTATTCCACATTGCTTGGGAAAGGATTGGAAATAGAGTATATCTATAATTTTGCTCTCTTTATGGGTAGGGACCTATAGGAGGAGAGTACTATAGATATTCCATGCATGTGAGGGGGGTTGGGAGTTCTTTTCACACGTGCACGCCAAGCCAGGCCAGGGCACAGACGCAAAGAGGTCCATGTCTTAAATGTGGTTTTAAGGAGAGTGACCAAGTCGCACAACTCAACCCTCATTCTCTCTGTATCTCAGTTTCGCAATTCTGCAATAGCACACTACTACAAGTTCTGATATGAAAAGCAATTACCGATAAATTCCATTATACCTTCTTTATTATTTTACAACAATTATTTTGAAAATAGATATTACAATAGTGCTAATATTCAAATTTCAGACAACCTTTTTTGGTGGTGCCATTCAAAAGGATGCTAACTCTTTGGTACAATCCTTGCTAGGAGATCCTGCAAATTTTGTTATTTAAGAATTTCTGTTACTTTCAAACAATGGTGATACGTATGTGGGTGATGGTAACGACTATTAAAATTCAATTAAGAAATGGTTCCGCCTTTTTTTTCTCACTACAGTTCCTTGGATCACAAGCTCAAATTGTTCGCAAGACCTACCACCAAATTATTTATCAATCATCATCCAACATCCAACCCAAGAATCAAAGTCTGATTATATCCACCATAAACTACAAAATCAAACTCTGATGATGCCCACCACAGGTTTGATGAAATCCATTCCATAAATGCTGTCTGTTGCAATTATTTTTGCCTATGTCGATAATGGAAGGCAATATACTCCTCTTCCGGTAGGTAAGAGTGGTATCTAGTGAGTACCGGCGGCAGTTGTTGATAGTTGAAATAGAGATGGGGAAGAAATTTGAACAAAGAAACAGAGGAGGAATAGGCGGGATAAATCAAATCAAATTTTTAAGTCAAAGTTCAGTTAACTCTGAACCTCCGTTATATTGGACATTCAAAATTCAATTAACGTGACAATTTCCTATTTGTGGATGCAGAAAATTTTCTGCACCCTAGATGCAAACGATGTGAATTCCTTAAACGTGTCTCTGGAATCTATCAAGTGTAAGATAAATCATCACCACGTTTTAGTCAACAATTTGTTGTAATTAAATATTTTATTTAATTAGTCAAGTAATAATTAAACAATTTAATTAATACCAAGTTGAAAATTAAACAATTTAATTTATAATTATATTATTATGTTATTATATTGTTAAATTTAATGATAATAATATATACAATGATAATGATTAATGATGAAGGGTGATTTGGCCCGACCTAGTATAAAGGGGACACGTGGACACGACCTGACCAAGAGATGACAGCTAAGCCCGACATGCCTAGTTCGCAACAGTTGAGCTCAAATATTCAACCACCTCGGCACAGGGTCACATCGGGACAAGGCCACCTCGGTCCCAAGGCACTTCGGCATTTAGTCAATTCGGAACTAAAAAGTATCAGCTCGGGGATACCGATCCAAACCACTACGTGGCAACCCCAAAAATCTCTCTAACAGACCCCGAACCTTGCGGGATCATGCCGCATAATGGCAAGCCTTATCTCCTCCCCGCCCGGTTCGGGAGGAATTGATAAACCTTATCAGTTGGTAACATTATCCTCTAATTAAAGCGGAAACGGATCCCATTGTGACAAAGATCTTGGAACCGATACGCAAAACCCACGATGACTCATCTATATAAAGGCTCCAACCTTGAGGGCATAAGGTACGCGTGATTTCTCTACTCTCTAGCTCTCTATATTTCCAAAAAGCTACTTTAGCTCGCAACAATCTTACTAACTTAAGCATCAGAGCGACCTCGCCGGGCTAGCCACCCCGAGTTCTCTAGTCTTATCTTACATCCATATTAATAAACTATGGATATGTAACAAACCACCGATCTACTAATTTGGAAATGCATTGCTTTAGATATTTACTCGATTAAATCAACCTATCATTTTCTCTCCTCATTAGGGGCATCAACTTTGTACACATACTTCAACTGGAAGTTAATATGAAAATTAAAGGTGCCTTACAGATTTCAAATCTTCTTGTGGATGGTTCTTTGGGATGGTTTGCTTACAAAATATAAATGTTTGACTTGGTTAAGTGAACTAGATCGACTTTGTATTTTCTATAAGTTGCATGAAGAAACAATTCATCACTTATTTTTTTCAATGCCCGTTTGCACGGGTTGTTTGGTGTGGTGCCCAAGTTGGATTGAATCCCTCTACCATATCTCGACATCCTATACATACTATCATCACGAACTAGTTTACATTGTTGAGTACAAATCTGGGAAAGCTACAAGCTATAATGAGTCTCAACATATTTGCCTTGGTCATCTATCATATATGGGAGGCAAGGAATAAGAAACTATTTGAAAATGTCAACTAAGATCCTATGGAGGTGGTAAACTTAGCATTAAAATTCCAGTTGGAGAATTCAGCACATAGGACTCAACCACCCCATCATCAACCGTTACCTCCCAATAATATTCCCTCCTTATTTATTGGTGGCTCTTTTGATCCAGATTTAGGTGTTGTAGGACGAGGGTTCATCCTCCAACATGTCAGTGAACGATATACCATTGCAGAAGGCAGACCCTCATGGGCTCTCACAAGCTATGATGCTGAAATTTTAGCATTGTTAAGAGGATTACAAGTGGCTCTATCTAATGGCATCACACATCTTTTGGTGCATTCAAATAATGCTGCCTTAGTAGATTTTGCCAAAGTAACCCACTGGTTATAACAACTGCACAAAAGTCATTTGTGACGACTAACAAACTCTTTTGATTATATATATTTTGTACATATTTTAAGACAATATAACTAGGCAGCCCATATTTTTGCTTACCTTTCATGTAAGGGGCAACTCAAGTTGCACTATAACTCCAAACACTCCCCGCATGTAACCTTTTCTATATGAATTTAATTTTATTTCTTTTTGCTAAAAAAAACTTCATCTCATCCACTATTCTTTTATATTATTTCTCATGCATCACAAGAGTTTATTGCTAGTTTTAGGAAGACACGTAAACAAGCGTTCGGAATATGCCTACCAGGATGAGATCTCCCCATAGAGCACGCTACCACAACCCATCCCCTTTGTGATTTGGGAACATCTCCCCATGACAAGCACGAGAGATGTTCCCAATACATGAGATATGGGCTGTGGGGTGCTAGCAATCATGGAGGACTGGATCTAGTAGGTACAACATAAGTAACCACGTTAAATGAGCACATGATAAGTATTTTGACAATTGTCAAAAGTGGGTTTTAATCTGTTTTAAGGGTGGGCTAAGGTATTTTAAGGGACAACTGTAAAAAAAAATTCAAGTGCTCATTAAAATGTGCTTACAATGTTGCGCCTACCTGATCCAAACTGATCATGGGGAGCCCATCTGGATTCGTGATGACATGTAAGTGAAGTAGTGAACCATCGTATTAGAAAAAAAAAACAAGGGGGAGGTTTTTTTCAGATTTTGAGAGGGGGAAGTTGGTAGTGATACCCATATCCCAGGTGGATAAATAATTGTTCCACCTTGGGGGGGGG